AATAATCAAGTGGAATGGAGCGAAACAACAATAAGATTTATAGTAACAAACATTGGATGTGCACCGACAATACTCGGTTGGAATCCATAATCATTGTTAGAGTAAAAAATGTAGTACGACGCGCACAGAAGCTATAGTGCCACCTTCAAACAAACGCGGCTCCCTATTAATGGTTGTCACAGAGGACTGTTAGTGTATCTTGACTCAGACACGTGACTCAAGGAATTAGAACGGTTAACGGTTTTACAAAAAAAATTAGAAAGAACAGCAGCACTGTTGAACTAGGCAATCGATGCCACAATACGTAGCGCATTTATACTCATACACATGAAACGGTAAATAACTAGTTCTTTCCATTTGTCTTCCAGTGCAAGTTGGAAGAGCTGTCCGATCAAATCACCAATCGCTTGTTCTTGGTCGCATGTTTGCCAGTAAAAAAACCGTTATAGTACGGTACTTTGAGCCAATAGCGTCCAAGTCAACCGTACTCAGAAAAGAACAGGTCACTGCTAACGACCTAGAATCAGATAGTCTATTTTGTGGCACACTGCTTCAGGTGTCCTATTAGTGAACCATTTGAGAAACACGATGATAATCTGAGAGGTGTAATTAGTAGTTTCCCGGTCTGTCTGTGCCGATCGGCACGTTCAAAGTTCACTGTACTGGCTCGGGTTGTTGTTTTTTCGGCTTTCCATTTGATGGATCAATGAATCAAGCTAAAAGATGAAATCGATGCGAAGTTAAAAATATATTAGATGGGAACACAAGAGATATGCGTTGAAAATAGATAAATGCACTACTTTTACAGTGACAAATCAATCTGTGTTGCTCGCTATCGATGACGACAGCCTCCAGGTTCAAATCTAGCGCTATCCGCATGAAAAATCGCTCCGGTGAAAGGTTTTCATACCATCACACCACTACTACTCACCTTCTAATCATTGCTTATCTGCTCCTCGCGAATCTGTCCTTTGAGAATAGAAGTCAATAGGTGTAGTAAAACTGACAGCAACCGATTCGGCGCTATTGCAATCAAACATATGCCCTGAAAGTTTTAACAAATAAGTGTAACATTCGATTCTCCTCATGTCCGGGATACAATTTGTTCCTCCCAGGCCTTTAAAAACTATCTGGTAAGCTCTTGCGGGAGAACTACTCTGACATCTTTAATAAGAGTCCGCGGTCGTTTCTGATACAGACGACGTTTAAGGGCTTGGAGCTACCTTCGGATCTCCGTTCCTGTAGGCGAGTCTGTGGATAGAGACCAGAGTGTACATTCAGACCTACTTGGGGTAGTCAGCGCAATATGAAGTGCTCCTGCCAGCGTTCGAAGCGTCTAGAACTGTACATTGATGCACTACCAATTTCGAAATTGCTTCACAAACGCAGTGTTCTAGAGCCAGAAGCACGGAAGAGTTAGAACAGCCACCGGGTGTTTCTGCACCTAGCCGTTGATTATATCTCCTTTGCAAGTGGTCTTCATCAGCTTTTAAGCTTTTGTAAGTGTCGTTCTGCACTCCTTAATGGGGTAATAGTTAGCCTTGCGGGTAACTCTTTTTGACACTCGATCAGCAGGACAGGTTTGGAATGATTGAGAATATCAAACTGTTTTCATCACTCTTTCGACAGCTATGGACAACTTGGCACAAACCAGTGCATGTTCATAAATCGAACAAGAATTGGTGAGGTAATTATGACAGACTTTCGCTTCAGATGAGTCCAAATCAAAATTTTATTTGTGATTGGAAGAACTGTCAATAGACAGACGAGCAATGGTGACTGTTTGGTGGGAAGACCGTACATGCAATAGAAGTTTTCAGCTTAAAAATACCAAGAATTGGACACAAATTCAGTGCAATTCACGCAGCTCAGAAGAGATTGAAAAACATTAGTCCATTATTTCCGCAACCGGCCACGCACACACATGGACCTTGAAATCCTAGTAGTCTGTGAGAACTGTTGCCTTGAAGGACAAAAAAACTTCGGAGTTTGCACAGATTTAGTAGTCTGTGAAGAAAACGTCATCTTTCGTTAACATACACTCGGGGACATTTAGACAACCCGATCCTTTTTAAAACACGACACCCATCGGACACAGTACTTTCGGTCGACTTACCCGATACTGATACCACCGGCAGCTCCGTGTTCACAAAGCAAATCCTCGACCGCACTCGTGACACGTTGTGTGATATCCCGTTGAATATCGATTTTCTGGTCATCGTTCAAACAATCTACCTTGTGAATGAATACTTCAAATTTGATATTCGTATTGTGACGAAAAGCAGTTTCCAGGGTGGAATGCAAAGAGCAAAGCGCTTCGTGATAGTCATCCTGGAGGACCGCCGTAGTAAACAGAGGGAGAGTGAGGTAGAGAAAGACAATAAACGAGAAAGAAAACAGACTCAAATATGAATACGTAAAGCGGATCCCGGTGATTTACGACTGTTCACTGCATGGGATCGGTTCTTCCGCGGAGAGGACATTCAGTAATCACAGGCTAGCACGAGATATAAAGAAGTGAATAAGTTTGACAGCAATGGTAATGACAGTGCAATTCGAACGAATCGTTGCAACAATACAAAATGAGTAATATATAATAATTATATAATATATTATATACATAAATGAATATTATATATATATATGTAAGTTCCGGAATCACAATATCTGCATACGCACTCGCGCATACAGTCATGTAATCGATAATATGTGCTGTGATTGTGGTTGCATCGTATGGCTTGGTCGTGAAAATCAGAACTCAAACGAGAGAAGGCTTGTTAGCACATCAACTAACTGTCCTGGCTCGGACACTTCGCGTAAGTAGCCATCGTGAGAATGAGATCGATCAGCTCACTACTAACCACCAACCAAGAGAAACAGTATTCCTACCACTAAAGCCAAATGGAGTCAAGTTTATTTCGTTTCACACACGTCTGAGTTCACAAGGCGCCAATCGAATCATAGTGCAATAATCTTTATAAAAAAGGAAAAGAAGTTCCATGATCTGTTCGAGATCGCGATACTGCCTAGTTGCCCAGGCTAAGACAGGAGGTAGATTTTATTAAGCAATTCACAACCAGAGACGTTGATTAGCCAAAGTCTGACCCCCAACGCAGCGGGACGGGGTGTGGAACACAGTTCAGTGAAGACCCGCGTCCATCATCGGATCCTACACCCATTGGATGGGATCAAACATCCAAGGTGCCCAATACACCTCGATATTTAATCCAGCAGATGACAACTGGCACAACCAGGAAGCTACGAACTTGTCTGATTCGTATGCCTCTTCTTGGTTGGTTTTAGCTAGCTACCCTAGGTGAACTGCCAGTGGTTCACCGATCGGGTTACAATCTCGGATATCAGTTTTTCCTCCTCTCGCTTTGGTAGGAAAACACCTTGGCGGGAAGGCAGTGAGTAGGGCTTCGTCAGCAGAGACAATTTGAAACGCTTGGTCGTATGGGAGCATTTCGAGAGAAGTAAGGGAAGAGTGACCAGCCGCAACCCCTTCTTTTTTTATAAAGATTACTGCATTTTGATTTGTTTGGCACACAGTATGAACTCAGAAGTGTGTGAAATATGATGATGCGCTCTAAGATACTTGGGTTATATGATTTACAAATCCCAATTACCTCTCCATCAGTTTATCACTTGATATTCCATAGAGATTGTCGGTCCTCAGTGTCAGTAGACCAGAAGCTTGCAAAACACACAAAATGAGAAGCGTTTGTGGATAATATGAAGAATGTGAGCTTATCATTGTTGTACTTTTTACATCAGTTGATCACTGCATTCGAAGTTAACGGTAACCAAAGTACAGCATTTTTGTCTACGTTCTGAGTGGCTCGTTTCTGTGTGCGGAAGGTTGAGAACCAGAGAAATGACCCAACCAGTAAGTATTCAAGACCATTCGGTCCGGCTCAGTGTTCTTGTAAAAAAGCTTCGTAGTCGTTTTATTGATGGAAAAATTTTGACGACTCATCATTTTTTTCCAATATGCTCAGTTGGTACATTTGCTATGTGATACTCATACGCAACTTCCCCACTGCAAAACACATCCAACACAATAAGTATGGACATAAAACAAATATGGACCCTTTAATATGAGCCACGGTTTAAACGTTATCTCTGTTTTAAGTTCACACTAATGTTTGGCCGAAAAGATGTATCCCTTTGAACTAACCTGAGCATCAATAATGAAGATTATGGCACAAGAGGCCAAAAAGATTGCATCAGATTGGAACATTTCGTCACAAAAATTCACATGACCCGGGAAATCCCAGATCTGGAACTTGATAAATGAACACTCCGACACGTCTGGAAGAATTAAATTTGTCACCTTCGTGCAACCCCAAAAAAGCGAAAAACGTACCATTTTTCTCTATTTTGTGGGTGCTTTCTAGGAACAGCGTCTCATTTGGGGCCATTTTGTGGAATACAACCTTTTGAATTGATGACTTGCCACTTCTGAAAGCGATCGCGTCAAATAACATAAATGCAGCCAGGTCTTACCGTCGAAGTCCCATGAGTAGTATCTTCGGCTTTTCCCCGACATCGCTACCTCCCATGCGGGGTGGTGGTGGTGCACTTTGTAACAAGCTTTCCGGACCAAGACCGTAGCCAAACTCAGTGGAGTATGGCGGTAAAAAACTTCCCATTTCTGCATAGCTACGATTCTCTTGCAACATCCGCTGGAACGACCAATGTCTTCAACGAGCGGAAATGCAAATGGAAAAAGTGGCATTAAAATGGGTGTGGTGATGGTGGCAGCAGTGTTGGTAGTGGTGAAAGTAAACGAAAGTAGTAGTATAAAACAAACTGCAAACGATCAAAGTGAAATACTGCCTATAACGATGCCAGTAAATGGTGGTGCAGTTCATTTCAGTATTTACAACCATTAACCATGCACTTTCGTACGCCGGTTTGGGTTGTTGTCTTTTGGTGTCCCATTTGGATGAAGATTGGAATGTTGAAAGCAAATTCAAGCGAAAGATGGAGGATTCACATCGAATGGTGTTAGGGGAATAATGAGTGAGTGCACGAGCGCCACTGTTTGCGACACTCAACCATATAACTTAGTGTTTCTAACCATCGGTTACGATCATACCGAGGTCCTCATCCAGGGAGCCTAACGGAACCTACGTGACCCAGACTCCTGGTTAGGGTTTTCATACCCTCATGCCAGATCTTGGCTGGACCGCCCTTCGTTTTTTTCCAACCGCTACCTGACTCGCCAAGNGCGTAATCTATGGAGGTTGATCACTTGTTCCAGTGGACGACCGCGACTGCCTAAAACTCTACGCCTAACCTCAGCATCGCTCGTCCACCAGATTAGTGAAATGCGACGTAGATAGCGCTGTTTAAACACGGAAAATCTATTTTTATCCTGTTCCCTTAGTGGCCAAGTCTCTGCACCGTAGAGCAGGACTGGCCGAACTGCCGCAGCATAAACTCGACCCTTCACAAGACAGCCGGATGTCGCGACGGCGCCACAGATGTCTCAAGTTGGCAAATGCCAATCGAGCTCGGATGTCGCGACGGCGCCACAAATGTCTCAAGTTGGCAAATGCCAACCGAGCCTTTTGTGTGTCGCGACGGCGCCACAGATGTCTCAAGTTGGCAAATGCCAACCGAGCCTTCTGTATGCACGGCGCCACAGGTGTCTCAAGTTGGCAAATGCCAATCGAGCCTTTTGTATGCGCGCCGACACTTCATCTGTGATGCGTTAGCCGGGTGAGATGTAGCTACCCAGATAGCAATATTTGTCTACTTCCTCTACTACTTCCCCAGTTAGGGTGCGACTGGGCGTTGGATAACCCAATATTGTAGTAGCATTTTACACTTTGAAGGTGCAAAACGCATACCGAACATGGCTACATTAGTAGCATTTTACACTTTGAAGGTGCAAAACGCATACCGAACATGGCAACACTAGCACTAAAACTATGCAGAAAAGCTTCCAACTTACCTGGATGTTCACAATGTCGTCTGCGTACCCTAGATCAGACAGTCTGCCACCCGGAATTAAATCAATACCGCTATCCTGGCACGAGGATAGGGCTGTTTCAAGAATTAAATCTATGACAAAGTCAAATAGAAAAGGAGA